CGATGGTTAACATGCGATCAACTTGCGATCGGGCGATGGTTAACATGCGATCAACTTGCCATCGGGCGATGGTTAACCCCAAGCCCTGAATGATATGCACAGAGCTGTTGATAATGTAAAAAACCTGATTTAAATTAACTAAATATGTCTTAAAAGTGCATTTTCCTTCACTTAGAGCAGGTCAATAAGGTGCTCTGTCAACGGAATTATTACACATGATTCACAGGAAATAAGATTTTTTTCTAAAGGAAAAATAGACTTATTTTATGTTAATCCAATTTTGCATTTTACGGTGATCTATTCTGAGCTGCATTTTGTTCCTGAATCTCAAACTGAAGTCTACCGTCGGACTTACGGTGTTTTTCAGCGTGTATTCGGAGGTGATGGTGTTGATTTCTTCTATGGTGTACGACGACACGTCAAAGCCAGGCGGATGACTGTCATTGATCATCAGCATCTGGTAGTATTCCTCATTAGCTGTGGAATCCAAACACATCAATCAGATCCTAATTGATCACAAACATCGGTTTTCTCATTATTTTTTATTATTTTAGAAAAGCTGGGGTGAGCGTGTTTTACCTTTAACCTGCTTGATACACCGCAGCGCATATTTGAGCGTGTTGACGGTGTTGGATTTGCCCTTGCTTCTCTTTTCTGGAGGCAGGTGCATCTTGAGCTCCTTGAGAGTCTTGAAGAGCTCCTTCTGAGTCTTGGCTTTGGCCGACTGTTCGCTGCTGCATGACGCCATAGAGAGAGATGCACAGGTGTCACAATGACGAGGTCTCACCAAAGATGTCGCACTCTACATTTAGAGTGTGACTGGAAACACGTGGATCCTCCACATGCTGAGATTTCTAGAACTGTAGAGAGACAGATAGAAATCCAGGACTCACCTGCAGCCGCTGGTTGACGGATTGTCCTGCTCGGAGCTCACCAGGCTGAAGGCGTTGGAGCTGCTCGGCGGAGACGGGCTGTGGGAGTTGGAGCTGTAACAAATGGCAACAGGTCATGTTATTTTAGGCAAACAAAGAAATTTCTGCAATTAGAACAAAGTTTTCTGCACAATGATTTGCATTCATGGTTCGGCTCTAATGCTACGTTCAGTCCCAAGCAGCAGAAGCAGCAGAAGCAGATAGTTTACGTGCAAAGTCAATGGTTGACGCACATCAAGGCACAGCAAAAGGTCCTGCGGCGCGTTTTGAGCAGCATGAGCAGCTCCTCATGAACCTCTGAGCATCTGACCCTCTTCAGAAGCAGCTGCTGAATTTGGAAAAATTCCACTTTAACTGCTTAACGAGCCGCATCAACCAATCAGAGAAGCTGATCTGGGAGCTGGCAGGGAGTCGGACACAGCACTGCTGATGCAGAGCGCTATGATCGCTCCTCTGAAACAGTTTATTAACGCCTAAATGTAGAAACTTGCAAGCAAAACTTTTTCTCTTTTATTATCCTGGTGCCTTCAGTTTGTAGGACTTTCTCACTTAAAAATATATTAAAACTACTTTTCACCCACTGATCACAGCAAATATAGCTGCCATTGTTCCAGGCAAAGAAAGGGTAGCTCCGCCCAACGCGCATCAGAATCACTTTCGCAGCAAAGATGCTTCAGCCACTTGTCAGAACTAAACTTGTAAAAGCATTAAAAAAGAAGCAGCATGTGCAACTTTGCTGCTTCTGCTGGGTGCGGTCTGAACGTAGCATAAAGATCAAACGATACGGGTTCTTGATTAGGGCCGATAATTTAGACATCAATCTAACTAATCCCTGATATGTGCCGCCGATTCTTGCTGCCTTTTGTGCATTTTCTTCCTTTGTTTGAATCGAACAAATGATATAGAAGTTTATGTTTGGAGTGAAATGTAAAATGTTTGGGAACCTGATAAACTCATAAAAGGTGCAGAATGTGTTTTAGTTGACGGAGCCAAAAGGCCTGTTGACTTCTGCTGAAGGTTAAATCCAGATTAGGGCTGAAAAATAACGATTATTTTGTAAATTGTTGATTATTTTGTTAATTAATTACTTAATAGTCAGATAGCCTGAGGTCTCTTTAAGATTATTTTTTTTGCAGAATTAAACCAAGTAAAACTAAAACGTTTCCACTTGAGGAGTTCCAGATAGAGCAGATTGACATAAGAATACTTTTATTTTTATTTTTTAAAGCTACAGTGTGTAATAATTACAGGGATATTCAGTCAGAAATGTAATATATTATACATAACTATGTTATTTATCATCATCTACGAGCTCAGCCTCTTAACCTTTTACTATTTTGATATAATTACTTCTCTAACTCGTTCGCTATGTCAACTAAAGGCACATTTTAGAGTCTCTATACTCCAGTTAATGATTAATCGATAACTAAATTACTTAATAATTATTTCAATATTCCATTAATCTCGATTAATCTGATTAACTGTTTCAGTTCTAATCTAGATAAAACTTTCTTGGACAAAAACTACTAAATTAGAATGAACTTTGGGAAGATATTAAATCAGATTTAGATGCTTTCTTTGATATGAATCCCACTTCCAAGTTAATAACGTTTAAAATGTATAGTCTCTATTATGAAATGTTTTTGTTTTTTTGGGGGGGGGGTCTCAGATTGAGCAGACTGCAGCATGTGAAACGTGTTTCCTGTTGTTTCCATGTCAGCGACACGAAGGAGAAAGTATAGCTGGTTACGTAACGGCCAGCCAGGTAGGGTCCTATTGTAACAAGAGATAATTATGAAAGTCATGTGGGGGGTGGGGAGGGGGGGGTTACTTCCAACTTCGTGCAGAAAAACCAGTTTGAACCCGATTTATCTGATGACCTCACTGAGCTTTCCGAGGGGATTCTTTATCTTTGTTTAAACAAACTCAGTCGATCTGAAAGGTTTATGGGATTTCTCACTCGCCAGGGACCCGGATTCAATGAGGAGGAAAGACGCAGCAGTATCTGAAACTCCAACCGACCTCACTTCCGCGACCTAATTGGTCTGGGGGGGTAGGGGAGGGACAGGCTGGATTCGGGGTGATTCAGTGCGTGATGAGCACTCACCTCTTATTGCTTCCTGATGACTCCATGATAGCAGAATCCTTCCCGTTGCCGTTCACACTTCCCACGGATTCGTTGCCGTGGGACTCGTTTCCGTGAGATTCGTTGCCATGGGATTCCGTCCCGCTCCCGCTCGAGCCGCCCATCTCCACGTCCTCGTGGAGGGGCGTCCGCTGGCGCTTCCTGTCATCGTGCGGGGAGCGCAGAGAGGCCGTGTGCTCGTGTCCGCTGTCGCTCCCCTCGGACGCCAGTCCTAACTCGGGTTCTAGCTCCCCCCCGTCCTGCACGCCGCAGCCCTCGCCGTAACTGCTGGCCATACGGTGTAGTTGGCTCATGGAGCCACGCGGGTGGCCTTGCTCTTCCTCAGCCCGGTAACCGACCCGTTCGTGGCCGTCCAGAGCGGAGAACTGATAGAGCTTTGAGTCGCTGTCCTCAGACATGAACCGGCAGAGAATGTGAGGTTATGTCACTTTCCACATGGCCATGCCTGAAACCTGTAGCAGTGCGTTGAAAAGGGAGTCGACGTCTCAGCTGCTGAGGTTCAATCCTAGGGAGACAAAAGAAAAAGATTAAATTAGGCGATACAAACCCTCTACAATGAGCCGTACCTCCATTAATCTAAAATAAAGAAATATCTAAAAAGGGAAACAATCAATACGGATCATCTCAAACCATCCAGCAAATCTACAGCTGGCTCCCTTTGATATGAGCAGACGGGCTGCGGTCGCAGCGTCGCTGAAAGAGCAAACACCAAATGAAAGGACAACAGTGTGAAGTTCACTTCATTTCACAGAAAGGCCGCCGCCATCGCCGCCGCCGGCCGCGGTTTGAAAGCAGCCTGATATCTAACCTTTCTCAGAGGATTGAAGCCCTTCGACACTGTGATACACTCCAAAGACCTCTAAACAACAAAGGTTCGCACACAGCGAGGAAAATGAGGCCAAAAGAGACTCAGCAGGACCCCTCCCCTACCTGTTGCTTCACACAGCTGGTCATTTTGCTGGATAGTAAGCTGCTTAACTATTATTAAAGGAGAAACGTTCAAAGCTAGTAATAATAGCCTCGACCCAAGCAGGATTAACTTGATAATATTAGCTGGCTGTGATTATGTTACTTTAAAAAAAAAGAAACAGAGACAAAAAGCAACACTGATGCTAATTTAGCAAAATAGCTCAGGCTAAAAATGTCATTTATTCCACTTCTAGCCTCAACTTTTCTATAAAAACATAAATTTTTTCAGTAATAACACTTCCACAGTCCATCTAGAGTGGTGGAGAATAAAATTATTAATATTCTGAATAAAATGTAGACAGTAATCCATATTGGCGGGTCCAAAATATATATACATTAACTTCTGGTTAGAGATGCCAACATAAACAAGACGGGACTCTGCACCAATAGGAACAGTAGGTTAAAGACACACAAGACGGAGCTTAGGCGCGGCCAGATGCTAGTAGATCCATGATGTAATTAAAATAAATAGAAAATATGCAAAATAAAGGACATTGGTCAAGCTTTCGAGCATCGGTTAGTACTTATGGAAGGGAAGCAGAGGGCTGGTTAAGATTCTCAGTCATCCACATCATAGTCATTCCAAAAAAGTTAAAAATAAAAAACACTAGACTTTGTTTTCCAAGTTTGAAGACATTTCGCTTCCCATCCTGAAAGCTTTTTCAATTCAAAATGTCAGATTAGTGTTGAGCTCCTCATTCCGTCTTTGTTGAGCTCAACACAGATGGGCTACGTCCTCCAGACAAGACTTGGCTGTCCATCTGCACTTTAAGGACAAAGGACGTTAATCTGAGGAGCAGAATGTTGACTTTTTGGACAAGGAAGACAGGTGGTTTGAAAGGGGTGTGAAGAAGGCCATTTATGTTCAGAGAGAAAAAAACAACCTTAAGAGTTAGAGTTGATTCCTTCCCGTTTTCATCTCAACCCCCATCCCTACGCAGGGACCACTACGCCTCAAACTCAATGCTAATTCTGGCATTTTGAATTTAAAAAGGTTCCTAGATGGGAAGCAAAACGTCTTCAGACTTGGAAACAAAGTCCAGTGGTTTGTTTTTAACTTTTTGGAAAGGGAAGCAGAGATTACTGCTTTTCTTCTGATCAGGTAAATGTTTGTTAATGCTAACCAAAGGTTAGCCTTTAACAAGGTTGGCATTAATTGTAGAGTAACCAAAGGTTAAATGCCTATACCATTTAGCAAAAGATTAGCATTAGCTTTAACGAACCTAGCAACCAGCTGGCTTAAAGGCTGCTTATCCTCCCGCAGCAGTGTTTCGCAGTGAGCTTGATATTTTTGATTTATGCCAAATATTGAAGCGTGGTCTGCGCTATGTCATTCCACGCAACAACGCTGGAGGGCCAATCAGGAACTAGCTGTGGGTCTAGATACGGCAGAGACGGTGAGGAAGTGGGGGCAAGTTTGTGCGACAACGGAGGGACACAAGGGCGAAAAAAAGCGGGAATCATTTGCGTTCACTGCGACACACACATGCAGACGACCTGGTTTCTGAGTATAAATCAGCCTTTCAAGTATAGAATGAGCAGCTGGTACGCCTTAAACCTGTTGCTTTCACCTTTAAAATGGCTCCTGTAAAGATAAACTAACTGTTTAAATGGGATTTTTTAGTGTTTATCTACTTTTTTTTTGTTTTTATATCAAAGTTAAAAGAACAAATTGATACAGTTTACAGATTATAACTATAGTAAGGATTTAAATAATGATTATTTTGTTAATTAATGAATTAATCTGTGGATTTTTGTTTGATAATTAAACAGCAAAAGGTTCCTTCAAGAAGATTTTATGTAGAATTTAATCCAGAAGCAGGTAAGAATAAAACTATTCCACTGCAGTGGTTCTGGATAGAGCATTTTGATGACAAACATGGAGTTTCTATTTGTATTATTTATAATTCTGGTATAATTACTGCTCTAACTGGGTTGCTCTTTCAGGTCCTGCAGTTGAAAATCCATTTTCTAAATTAGTTGAGGGTTATTTGAACAATCAATTAATTATGAGAAATAAATTTAATTGTTTTCTTCCTAAACTATAGTGATATATTTATTTGATATATTGCAGGTCCATGTAAAAGACAACAAAAACAGATATTTTATTCCTCTGGACCGACCTGGAGAGGATTTGATTTAGATTTTTTCTAATAATTAGGTTGTTCATGAGCACCTTTCAGCCAAATATCTGTTTGATTAAGTAGAGATGATAGAAGAACAGCACAGGTTAATATTTCAGGATCACTGCAGCCCCTTTGTTTCTCCTGCAAGGGTGAAACTTTGAGCTATTTGGGTCCGTTTGGCACCGATTTGGAAAATCCTGGCAGGAGGTATTGAAGCCAAAACCAAAACTATTTCCCTGTTCTCCTGCTGGTCGGTATCAGGTTACAGTTATTTATGTAAGCGCAACATTCAGCAGCTCGTCTATTATTGGCACTTTATATAAGCCGAATTTCTTTCTTAGAAATATGGATTTTTTCTTTCACATTTAGGATGCATTTAAACCCCGGGAGGTTTCCTGCCTCTCCTACACACTCACTCCTCAGAGATTAACCAATAATAAGTTTAGAGAGTGAAAAACAGCCAAGCTGTTCGGCAGGATTTCCCATTGGCTGCTGCCTGCAGCCAATCAGAGAAAAACGAACCGCAACAGGTTAACGACACCAGCAAATTAGGACATAAACAATTCCTTTTTGTGTTGTTATTAAAATAATCTGGAATATGATTCCCAGGATTTGGATTATGGGTATAAAAACATTCATGTCATTTAGATGATTTACTGTAGAGGCTCAGTCTGAGGGGAATGAATGAAGGAAATTATCCAAAAGTAGGTTAACCTAATAAAAACGCAATTTTACTGTATTAATAGTAGATATTCTATCATTCTTTTTTTTTTAGGTATTGTTAGTTTTTTCAGTAAAATTATGCATCTCGATTATTGTGCATAAAGTATACAATTAAACCTTTGAGGCAACAAACTCACATTTTCCCCCAAAAAAACGGGGAATCTATAAAATAAAAGAACCTAAACAACAGGAGCAAATAAGATTATTGTACATTTTCATTCCTTAAATTAATTTTAAAAAGCCTTCTACTAACAGCGAAGGTCTAACTCACCAGAAAGATGGTCTTCCAAAAAAAAAAGATTCTCACCAGGGGAAATTAAACTGAAAACTCTGTTTAAAGATGAGATGCAATTCATGGAAATAAAGATATAATTCTCCAGGTAGGAAGAGAAAGAAATGCGTGATGCCATGAAAGAAGCAGCTCTGCTTCCATGGGAGTCCTGATCCAGAGTGAGCCCTGATCCAGCAGCACACTAGCACAGATCTCAGCATTATACAACTTGGCTCCAGTCACATGGATTCAGCTATAGCTCAACACAAAGCTGGAAGCCCTGTTTCATAAAACCACACGCTGCTTTCTTCTTCTAGGAACTCAATGTCCAGGAGTGCATTCTTTTACAGAAATGTTATAAATCTTAAAAATGTGTGCAACTCAGATTTTGGGAGGGGTTTTATTTACCTTGTCAGATGAAACTGGAAATAGAAGCAAAATCCCTAATTTCACATTTTCTTGATTAGACAAATAATAATGATACAAATCAGGAAAAACAGGTTAACTTTCTTTTCTTTTTGTACCCCAATTTTATCATAAATATATAAAAAAAAAAACATCTGTGTTGATGTTTGTGGGCAAAAATGAATTATTAACAAATATATTATTGTTATTATTAACAAATATATTTGATTAATAGAATCAATTGGATTTAATGTTCAGTAGAAAATTGAAAGTTCTATTTTTAAAGAAAGAGGTTATTTTGTTTGATCAGTAGGCATTTAGGATTATAATAGAAATAAAATTTAAATAAAATTGTCTATATAATAAGTTGAAGCCTTTAAATATATTTTCCAAATAAACAGAAACTAAAGATCAGATTATAATTCCTACACCTGTACTTTTAATAGTCATATATTAGCTAAATGTGGCACTTCCATTGTTATAGCAGGTCAATCTGATATTAATAAAATAGGTTTTACCAATTACATCATATATTACGTCCCTATAACAGTTTTAATGGTGAAAATAGGAATAACTGTGTTTCTATAGTTTTATTTAGTGGCTGCTGACCTGCTGTTCACATCCACACACGTTGACCTGCAATCCAGCGCACGGTACACTGACACAGTTATGTAAAAGTAGGGATATGATTAAAAAACAGCCACATATGTGCCATATTTTAACGGCAGCTCGTTTTAACGGCTAAAACTAGCCGGCTTATTGTTTTGTTGACAACAAAGTCATGAGAAAAAGCAAGTTTTAACGTGTTAAAGTAAAAAAAAGTAGAGCAGTCGGATTCCGCGCATGCGCACTTCGTTTTTTTGTTATGCAACTTATTTTTTGAGCACAAGCTTTAAATCAGGGTAAAACTCAAAGGAAGACAAGATGGAGGACCAACCTGTGACGATGATGTGCAAACCGCCTCTCCGTCTGAGAAAAGGGACCAAAACAAGCCGAGCAGACCGATGAGAATCATAGGTTTAAGCTAACCGGTATTCCTCAATGGGAAAGCGGCTTCTGACTGACTGACTCGGCGGCGCTCGCCTCCCCCCACCCCCCAGTTCTTCGACAACGTCCCGCTGGCCAATCAGAGAGCAAGCCTCGCGACCTCAATTCAAGACTCCTCCCTCGGGCTCAACCGATTGGTTGTCGTTTCGAGGTTTCCATAGTGAGCGTTACGGAACAGCGATAGCGGCAGCTGATTGGTCCAAACCGCTGTCCGTCGTTTTATATAAACAAGGCGGTTTTCGCACGTGGAATCTCATGTTGTGTGTGTCACAGCGCTTTGTTGCAGGGGCAGTTACGACTGCAGGGAATTGCTGGGTTCAATCATCATATCAGATGTTGCCCTTACATAAATGCTAAATATGGCAGCTGGAAGGAAAAACAAAAATAATTTTTGACACATTTTGCAGTAAACAGACCGCAGCCAGAATGAGTCCAAAGCGTAACCTGCTCGCATAATGATTTTTTTACACGTGGGAAACGTCACTGGGTTGATCGCTGGCGCTCATTGTCCAGATTACAGCTTTAAAATCATTAGCTGCGTCACATTTGACTGTGGTCCTCTGAGGGGGCAGGGGCTTCTCCCACATGGGGGGGGGTCAGGTCATTTTGGTGTTCCATTGAAGTAAGGTTTTAAAAAATAACTTTTACTCTTTAATAAGCAAATGTTGTATCTTATTATCCTCAGATATTAACTGGAAGAAGATGCAAGATCCAGTTACCTCCACATGGAAATGTCATTTCATTCAATAATAGGCAGAGGCAGTCCTAGTCAGGGGCCATCAGGGGCCTGTGCCCCTGTAGAACTAGTCCTGGCCCCATGTAGACAGATATATTTATGTCATTTTGTTTACACAATTTTAAACAAAAAGAAATTTAGTTTAGAGCAGCTCTCTAGACAATTTCATTTCTTAAAGTGCAGCCTTGATCAGGTCAGCAGCAGCAGTTGTTGAGCTGCTAGTACTGCCTCCAGCTCCGGAAGCACTCACTTCTCCTGGCTCAGGGGAGGAAGAGGACGATGATGACGATGCTGTGAGGGGGGTAGCCTCCTGGGTTGAAGAGGCTGACGTGGTTGAAGCAGCAGTGGTGCCATCGGCAGGTTTAGCAGCGACAGATGATGCTGGAGAAGGTGTGGAAGCCGGAGGGAGCCGGCAGGGGATGTTTCAGCATTTGGCAGGGAAGCATCTAGAGTAGGGATGCACGATATAATCGGCCCCCTATCGGTATCGGCCTTAAAACTGAATATCGGACATTGGCCACCCCACCGATATTTAACCCGATATTTGATCAGCTTCTGAGTTTCTAAAGTCTAAAAAAAAAAAAAAAATACTATTTTTTCTTCCTCAAAAACTTCTTTTTTACAGACTTAAAAACTTCTAAAGACGAGGGAAAAAATATTGATGCAATAAAATATCCCAATATCTTCATATGCTGATATATTGCCATTTAAAAACACCATATCAATCTCTTTTACTAATGAAATATTGCTATATGTCATCGTTATGCTACGAAATCCCCCGAAAATTCACGAAATTTTGCCATATTTTTATATGTTGATATATTGACGCGGTATCGATCTATTTTACTAACAATATCTCACAAGAATTTGCAAAATATCACGAGAGTTTGTAACAGAACGATGAAATTTCACGAGATTTTGAAAGTAAAATAGATCGATACCGCGTTTTTAAAAATCAATTTGATATCAGCATATGAAAATATATTTGAGTATATTATTTTTCAAAGTGTCAGAAATGGATAACAAAACTGCTATTTTCAATGACTACTTATTTTTGTCCAGCTTTAACATCGGTATCCATATCGGTTATCGGCTACATGAGTTTTAAAATATCGGCATATCGGATATCGGCCAAAATCCCAATATCGTGCATCCCTAATCTAGAGTGCATTCCATCCGGTACTCCTGGAGCAGCCAAGATTCCGTCAGAATGATGTGAAGCAGTTCATATCTCCCTTTTTTGAAGAGAGTTCGAGTCGGAAATGATCATTTTGTTTTCCAACGGGCGGATGTTGGAGAGCAGGATTGACGAAAGCGGCAGTCTGTGCAGTTAGCCCCCCTCTGCAGCCTCGCGTTCTCCGTCTGGCGCGTCTCTTCCTCCGTCCGTTATTTTCCGCTGTTGTTTTGTTGACATCCGTCCGTAGCGCTCCGCAGCTTTTTAAACGTTCACAAAATGTCAGTATTTTAAACATTTTGTGACCGTAGCTCCAGCAGGCGTTGGCGACCGTAAATACGGGTTTGATGTCTAGTTTGTATCGTTTTAGGCGGCATATTTTGTGAAATTGTTGGAGCCACATGGAGCAATTTTATGGCCCCTGTACTGAAAACACACACAACAAAATTGATGTAATTAGCAGATGCAATTATTTTAAAAAGATTGCTGCTTTAGATCTGTTTTGCAGTGTAACTAAATCAGTTTCTAATGGTGAAACCCCACCCATCCTCCCCACCTTCTCCAGAAGCACCATAGAGAGCATTCTGCCCCCCTGGTAAATTTAATCTAGAACCACCACTGATATTAGGCCATTTTCATTTTGATGTGTGGTAATAATCAATCATCATACCTTATTAAGGTCAGCTGATTAGCAGCATGATTGACGGGGGTATATTGTATCACACAGCTGCTGGGTTTGATCTCAATTCAAGCATTTATGACCCAATAGCTCCATTATTCCCCAATAATTTCTGAAGAAAATCTGTTTTACATGCTTTGAGGAAACAGATCAGTGTATCAGACGTCAGTCCTTGCCTTGCAGCCTAAACCATTCGTTTCACTTCTGGTCAAGTTGGATCAAATTCTGGACTTTTGTCTTTTCTGCACCTGCAGCTGTTTCAGAAGCCAGAGCCAAAGCGACCTGCTAATTGCCATTGTTGGAGTTTCAGTGACCTCATTGAAAATTAGATTTTGGCCTTCTGTTCCCTTCTCGCTAGATGCTCTATTTTACTATGGTTAAAAAAAAAAAAGGTTTTGTAATTATAAAAAAAAAAAAAATCAATCCATTAAGGAAATTTTAGCAAAAATTCTTTAAAAAAAAATAAAAAATTAGAGGGACTTTCTCAGATTTTATTTTTCAAACTTTATTTAAAAATGTTTTTTTTGCAGATTCATTTTTAAGAATTGCATTCTTTTCCAAATGTGTTTCGCAAATCACAATATCTTGACTTCTAGAGAAGGATTTTCCTGTGGAGCGAGAAACAAAGACGCATTTCTGTTGGTCTGCATAAATGTTAGCAACAACATTGGACATTTGTATTGTGCATGAAGGGTGAATGTTTGTACTGGGATTGAAGTGCTCCAACAATAGTGGAACACATCTAACCCCATATATAAGGGGAGTGTTGGCCTAGTGGGTTAAAGCAGTGCGCTTGTGCTCTGAGAAGGTTGCAAGTACCCGATTCGATCCCTGCAACCTGCCCTCTGGGTCCCTGAGCAAGACCCTTAACCCCACACTGCTCCCCGGGAGCCGCACAATGGCAGCCCACTGCTCCCCAGGGGGAGGGGTTAAATGCAGAGGGTTCTCCATTATGAGATCAATAAAGTTAATTTATTATGTGCTCTCACAACATTTTTGGGGGTTTTATTTTACAGTGAAGGTTAGCTTAGCAATGTTTACTCACAACTTACTAAACTTTTTACCTTTCTAATCTGTCTAATAATAAAATTAACCACCATGTTGCAGAGTTAACCTTTCAAAGCCCGATCCAAGAATAAAATAAAACAGAAAATTACTTTATTTTGGTTTGAAGTCCTTATTTGCCCTTTTAAAAAAATATGTAAAAAGAAAAACAGAAATACATTTTTGATATTAATAATTTATTACTATGCGATAAGTCAAGATTATTTTTGTGTAGTCTGTTATCAGTATATCTGATTGTGTACAATAGGATTTTGAGCAAAGTTTTTACCATTAAATTATGCAAAAGGTGTCAGA